ACAATTTTCTTCGCGTGGGGCCGCACTTGGGATTCAATGAAAGACTTGCATCAGTTCCCGGACGACGAGGTGATCGCACCCGTCATTGACGTGTATATCCGGGAATCCGAACGAATATATGGCCCGAAATGGTGTCAATTGGCCGGTAATTCGGCGGATCAGATGCTCAAAGAGCTCAAGAGATTTGTTTTAGTCAACGCCTTGTTTACGATATTCACAAGTTTGAGGTGCGATGAGAAACTGCAGCAAACCCTACCCTTGGATCCCAAATTGATTATGGTAAGTTTTCCTATTATGATTAATATTTTTATTAATTTTTTGTATTTCTAATTGTAATTGTTTTTGTATTTTGTGACAGAAATTTTGTGAAATTTCATATAAAAACTATTGGCATTTAAAACATCAATTCATTGCGCAAAATGTTGTTTAATTAACAAAAATAAAAATTATATTTTGTATAAAATTAATTAAACTATAAAACAATTAATAACACCAATTTTTAATATTTTAAATGGAGTTAAATTATTAAATTATTTTATTATATTTTATTTACAGTTTTGTCACAATTATTTCTGTATTAATTTTTAAATTATTTTTAAATTAATTAATTATTATACAGACAAATAGACTCGAAAATTGTATTATTAAAGTATTATTTATAAATAAAATATAACCCTGATGAACTTTAACATGTGGTAAATCTAACTAAATATTTGTCGTATAGATATAATTTTTGAGTCACCCAATACTAACGCCACAGAACTACAGTCATCCAAACCTATTCAATGCCTATGTTTTTCTACTATTAATTACTTATAACTTATTGTTTTCTCAACTATGTATCGATTGAATAATTATTTGTCGAGCACTGAGCTATATAAGCCACACCGTGCTTACTATAGCTCAGTCCTATTCCTGCCTTTAATCAATAAAGTTGTTTAGCATTAGATTTGTTTCTATTGTTTGTTAAGTCTTGGTCTACTCAGTAAACTGTAGACTAGGACCGATCGGGAGATCCCTAATAAGGCAGCGGGAAATAGGATTGCCTTGACGGCCAATAAAGTAAGTGATTCAGTGACAACTCAGCGCATAAATCTCGTGCCACTAATTGCCACATCAATCGCGCGTTAAGTATTGTCACCACAATCTCGTGACTCCTCGGCGCTAAATAGCCGCGCCAACACATTGAGTCGCCAGAAAGTAGAGCCATAACTGTCACCCCATTTGGTCTCTACATAACATATTTAATGTGAAAAATACAGAAAAAGTCGTTGACTTATATTGATAAAAATATTCTTATTCAAACTTTTCCTACAAACCTTGAAATGAACATTGCCATTGATAAAGTATACTTTATTTCATATTAAACCTTGAAATGTACAAAAACATAACTTTTTAGTATATAATAAATACATAATAGGAAATGTTTGTACATTTTATACAAAAGATGTTACAATTTTATTCTGATTACCTGTTAATGTATAACATGTATAACATTTATTAAAGTTATTTACTTAATTTTAAAATGTTGTTACTATATGTTTACTTATGTTTAATCAATACTTTATATTTTATTTATAATTAATAAAAATAATTTAATAAAATTAATTAAATGGAAAATTCTTCCAATAGAGCCATTTTTAATAAAATAAATTTATTTAAATTATTAAATAATTTTATTTAAATTATTAAATAATTTTATTATATTTTAATTACAGTTTGCACACTATTATTTAGTAATAAACCAATATTTTACCATTTTACACTTTAATAATAATATTTAATTTAAAAAATTTGTACACTCTTATAAATATTAAAATTAGCTTTGTGTCTTTACAAACTACATTCAGCTTGTTTAGAATACACAGAGTATAAAGGACAATACAAATAGTATTTTAAATACAAGTATAATAATAAGTAAAACCAGATTAATAAATTAATATGCTTAAAAATTATTTTTTATGAAAAATAATCTTATGTTTATTAGGCGTTAGACCATCATTGATGTTATAATCGGGATCAATATTAACATCGGGGTTAACTCGGATCTCATATTCACAAGTCGCCTGTAAAAATCTGACCAACACCATAAACATTTCAACCAAGGCCAGTTTCTCACCCAAACACATGCGGCGACCCACACCAAACGGCACATACGCTGCCGGTTTGACCGCCAAGTATTTACCATTGTCCAAGAACCTTTCAGGCGTAAATTGATCAGGGTTAGACCAGTGTTTCTCGTCATTCAATATGCTGTATAGGTGTAGGAAAACTCCCGTTCCCTCAGGTATTGTGTGTTTCCCTAATTATATAAATTTATTAATTATAAACTTGTTTAGTATTTAAACATTTTTTTATTCATTGCAAACCGATATTGGTTTTGACGACCGCCTTATGAAAGAGGGCCAGCGGTACGACCAGTCGGTATCGCATTGTCTCCGATATGAATGCCATTACGTAATGGCAGTCATGTATGTCCTGTTGGACAGGCATTCGGTCCCCCAATTGTTCGCTGATCTCAGCCCTCAGTTTTTGCTGAACATCCGGATAATAGGCTAACAGTAATAATAGCCATTTGAATGTGTTGTGAGTGGTGTCAACACCGGCTGTCAAAACAAAAACACGTTTAAAAAATTTAATTATAATTTAGTTTAAACATGAGTTCACCAATAAACAGATCCCAGACGACCATGGTAATATTATCATCGTTCAGATAGGGTGCGGACTCTTTGCCCTCTACGAGAGCCTCATTCTTGGCCACTATAAGGGCGTCGCAAAAGTCCCGCACAATTGTCTCGTCAAAGTCGTGGTAATGAGCGGTGTATTTGCTTTTAACCAAATCCAATGTCTCGGCCATAAACTCTTCCCTCTTCTTCATTATGGATCTGTCGATGAATTGCATGATTGGTATGAATTCAAGTAGTGTTAGACGTGTTGTGTTTTCTTTGAAAAAGTCGTGGAAAATGTAATTTAATTTTTTGAACTCCGGGTCCGACATGTCGTACCTGTTTTGAGATTTAATTTGCGTTTTATTAGTTTAATTAGAAATTTTAATTAAAGTATAAGTTGTAATACTTTTTGCCGAACACAGAGGTGGCCATAATGTTGAGAAACATTAAGTATATGTAGTCAAACGGCTGGAACCCTTCCTCCAGATTCTCGTTGTGTTTAATGAGTTGCACCGTCTGGTCGACCACATCGCTCACCAAATACGCCAATCTGTCTGTTGTGGAGTATTTTCTGCGAGATAAACATTTTATTACATAATAATCATGATAAATAATACAAATCACTTTAACATACCTGACCGCCAAATGTGCCACACGTCTCAACGCCTGCCATTTGGGCCCGAAGTCAGCAAACAATATGTCTGAGTATTTCTCGTTGGACACTAACTTGCCTTTAAAATATGACCAATGTAATTTTATTTTATTACTTTATCACGTTTTAAATCATAATTATATTGTTTACCAAACATAGAGTCGGGCCGTCCGGACAGTTCATTCTTGTTGAACGACTCTTTGGCCAAATCCAAGTCCAGGACAAACACGAATGGGTTGGGACCCATCCATAGGGTGAACACCGGGCCATACTTTTTGCTAATATCGATCAGTTGTAGGCATTGATGTATTTTTGTGCCACGAAATACTGGTTTGTAAATTATAATTTAATAATAATAATAATTTAACAAGATTAAATCTTATTTTTATAATTTTAATGTCTATAAAAAAAATAATTACGTAAAAAGTTGCCAACAATTGGCAGCGGTATTGGTCCGGGCGGTAGGCTTTTAATCTTGAGATAAAACTTGACTAAATAATGTACAGAATAGCCCAGAATTAGGCTTAGAATCAATGTATAAAAATCTGTGTAAAATATTGATTGAATGTAAGTGGTTAAAAATATAAACATTTTGTTTTAATCACAAATTCTATACATAATATAAGATGTTAAATACTAAATCTCACACTTAATGTTAAAATGTTTTAGCGCCCAGAATTTGTACCATATTTATACTGTTTTGAAACTGTGTAAAAATTGCTGGTATCATGTTTGACGACAACACCAATCAGAGTATGTGTTGCGATGTCTGCAAAAATCAATACCCAATTCTGGCCTTGTATTCAATGCCACAGACAATACATTGACACCAGAAATGTTCATGTCTTGCACTTCACTTGCATTTTCATACCTGTGCTCAACAGGTCTTGAAATGTACATTATTTTTATTGTTTTTTATTTTATTATTTGCTTTTTTTGTACAATCAGTACACTTATTTATAAACTTATTTGTAAATAAGTTGAATTGTAATTAATTTTGTAATTTATTGTAAAAGTTATCATAATATATTTAATAAAATTGTAGTATTGGAGAGAGTTTTTACATGATAATTAATTTAACACGAAAGTTTTATTTATCATTATAACTTAAAAAATGATAATTTAAAATAACTGATAGCGATTATTAAATTGTAGATTTAATAGTCCAATGGCCTTATTATTGTAAACAATAAATGACACAAAAATAAGTTTAGAATTAAAACTTTTAAAACTAGTCATATTTATATCATTTTTAGCAATTTACATTCATTAATAAAAAAGATTAATTCTTGTAAAACTCTAATTAAATAATTATTTTTTTAAATTAACTGTGTAGCAGACATTGATTATCTTGATCAATTAATTTAGTATATATTTTTTTAATAATGGAGTTATTGTCTACAATAAAAATTATGAATTTCTCACAAACACTGCAAACTATTCATTGAATTATTGCCAAAATATTTCAAGGAATTCACTTATCATTCAAAGGGTTTATTGACTTATATTCTCGCAAACACAGCACTGGTAACCAAGCCTACAGTATCCGTACCCCATATAATTAAACATGATTTATACAGCGCCTGCCTATTCGCAGCCGGCCTTGAAATGTACAAAATAACGTGGTATAAGTGCACATGACTTGTTGTGTAACACATATTCACATATCCCTTATATAAACAGAATGTTATTTATTTTTCACATAAATTCTGCCACAGAATTGATGTCAACGTATTGTATAAGAAAGTGATTCAATCATTAGTTTCTCATTTATTTGTCTACAATAAAGGTGTTTAACACTTGAATTAAACAATTTCTTAACAATATTTTATAAAACATATTAAACAACAAATGTCTGTCAAAACGGAGACAAAGATATCAATGCAAGCGTTGGCTGAGTTGAAGTCCATCGACGACATCGACTTCAATGAGATTGAGTTGAGCAGCGGTCAGACGCCCGACGATATCAACGCTCAGTGTCTGCGGCTATGCGTCGACTATTTGGGCGGCGTTTGGACGCAACGGACGCCCGACTCGATCGCCGTCAAGAGGGTTATGGGAGGCGTCACTAATCAGCTCTATTACTGCGCGATCGGCAGCCACTCCGACGAGACAGAGGGGTCGGGTGTGCCTCAGGAGGTGGCCATCAGACTGTATGGGCGCAAGTATTTTACCAGAGATGACAGTCAAGAGCGAGAAGATAGGCTAAACGATGTGATTACGGCGCTGTTGGCCTCCCAGAGCCAATTGGGACCTCAAGTATATGGCATATTTGATGGTGGTGAGATACTTAAATATTACAAGGTAAGCATATTGTATTTACCACGCTCTCTGAAATCTAGTTTAACTAATTTTACAAACATTGTTATCGACAGCACCGGGCGTTTGGTGTGGAGGAGCAAAAAGATGCGGCAATCGGTGCGAAAGTATTTGAAAAGTTGGCGAAATGGCACTCATTGGAGACGCCAATGAAGAAGTCTCAATGGATTGGCCCAATGTTTGAGGGCATGTTTGAGAGCGCCCGCCAGTATCCCGGGCTCCGGGAACTGATCGCAGAGTGCAATCTCCACACATTGAAACGGCACGATATTCAAGCGGAGAGACAATGGCTGATGGATCTGATCCGCGAGTGCGACAGTCCCGTAGTGTTTGCGCACAACGACTTCCGGAGCGCCAATATTATGGTATTGGAGGACAACAACAATAATGATAAGACCACCGCTGATGGCGGCGGCGATGAGGGGATAGTGTTTTGCGACTTTGACGCCTCCCGATACGGGCACCGGGGGCTTGACTTTGGCACCATATGGTGGGAGTGGGGCCGCACTTTCAATGACTACAAACGTGAACACGTTTTTCCCGACGATCGCCAAATTGTGCCCCTAATCGAGGCTTATATCAGGGAATCGACGCGAATATATGGCCCGAAATACGGCGAAAATGCCCGCAATTCTGTCCGACAAATACTGAAAGAAGTGAAAGTGTTTTCTCTGGTTTACGCCATGTTTAGGGTTTTAGTGGATTTGCGATGCGATGACAAAACCCAAGAAACATTTTGCATACCCCAGAGAGTAGTCTTGGTATTTATCATTTTAATTCACCTTGTTTGTTTACTTCATTAATTGTTGTTTAGTTTTAATTGTAATATAATTTTCATTATAGAGTTTTACGGAAATTCAATACAAAAATTATTGGCATTTGAAGAATTTATTTATGAAACAACAAGTTTTTTAAAGTGCTTTAAAATTATTGTGTACAGATTGTTTTAGCAAAGTACTTTAGAATTAGTATTATTATTCTTATGTAACTATAATCATTAATTACCATTATTTTATATTATAAAATCTAAAGCATTTATTTGTATACATATACAGTATGTAAATACATTTTATTTAATTGTTTTAAAGTATATTTAAAACATTTATATTAACATTTAAACAAACACAAACATTTAAAACTTTATATTAAAACATATTATTTTTAATATTTAATCGATATGTAAAACATTGAATTATAAATGAGGAGTACTTATAATGTTGACTCTTCACCATTGGCTATAATATCGGTCTGATTGACGTCATTGACAACATGTTGATTGTCGGCACTATTGATGAAATGGTTATCGTGTGAAGAATCAGTGGAACTGACGGACGAACGAACACACATTACGCCAAACAAACGGTTCCCGCACTTAGTCTTCGAGGCCTTCATAGCGTTGGATCTCTTGACTCTAGTCTTCTGAATGCCGACCATTTGTCGTTCATTTAGCTGGTTATGAGTCAAGTCTTGAGTTATCTCTGGTGTCTGTCTGTGACTACAATTGATTGTAAAACACATTTTCAACAAATACTTTGCCCTTTCGTTGTAGTCTTTGTTTAGCCAGAAGTAAATGAATGGGTTATAACAGACAGAACTCATTGCAATCCAATGACATATCATTAATATATTAAAGCTGTAATTCCCAAAACCAAAATCAGCTCTTATGTGAAGAATGTTTAGCTAATATATGAAAAAAATTTACTTTTAAGTGTAAAGAAAATAATTTTTCTTAAAGTAAAAAATATTTATTTAAAAAAATTTAATTCAAATTCTAGAAATACGAACACAATATTTATGCCATAAGTTAATGCATGAAATTTATAATGTGCAAGAATTTATAAGATAATAGAAAATGATGTCTTTACTGACCGGAAGCCAACAAATTGCAAATACAACTACAGCTGTAATCAACATTTTAATTGTCTTTAGTTTGGATTGATTTTGATCCGACCTCTGCTGTTGAGTCAAAGCACCGATGCCTTCCCTCTTCCAGATATGCACTCCTATACGCGTATAACAAACCGCTGTCCATCACATCAACCATTATATTGTATGGATTATATTAAAGAAAATTAAAGGTTACCTAGTTAAATGCTTATTTAATGTTAGTAAGTATTTATAACATTAATTATATTAAAAGTATAATTATGAAAAATTAATTGCTCTGATTTTCACTTATACTTACATATGATTAACAATGGTATCGAGTATTGAGTGAAAAACGCTAAAACGGTAATCCATTTGCGGTACTTGTCTTTGGGTTCTGGATATACAACACGACAGCGAATAAACATTTTGAATGTAAACAATTCAACGATTTCATTGAAATAGGCGTAAGGAATGGATAAGAGTCCGGCCGTTAACCAAATCACAAGTATTATCAAACCCGTCGGTACTGTAGTTGTGAACCGACGTCTCAACAAACCCACCAATACTTGGTATCTGTCGATAGCTATTATTGTCATCGAAATGGTCGACACAAATACAGAGAGGGCTTGAATAAATGGGCCCAATTTGCACATCAATGTGCCAAATGGCCAGTCTTCTAGTAACATACGAGCTGTTAAGTAAAAATTTACAGCAAATTATTTATAAGTGAGTCGTGAAAACTAATCTCTGGAAAGGCTTTATTTTCAAAAAGAAATAATATACTATAAAAGTAATATAAAACACAATAAAATTGCATAAATGCCGTTAAAATATCTAAAAATATATTTCTTTAATCCTTACAGTGCTATACTAAGAATTTTCTTACTCGAGGCTGAGTTTGAACTCGAGTTAATCCTTTTGGAGACTGAAGTTGAGCTCAAACTCGAGATTCTATTCAAAAAAAGTTTTGAACTGGATCTCGAAAA